AAGTTCGGCCAGATGACATTCTGAATTACATTTTATCTTCATCTCTCTCTATTAGAGAGGTAATTGAGGTCCAGAAAGGGTAAACGACTTGTCTAGGGTCATACAGCAAGTGAGTAATAAGAACGAAGCTCCGTGTGGCTCCCAGGCCATGTTCTCGGGTTTGTGCTGGTGGTAAAGGTGACCTCAAGGATAGAGCCCAGGGTGGTGTCTTGGATGCAAACTAATCCATCCTTACACAACTTACTCATCAATTCACTCGTTACACACTGACTCTAGACCTGAGCTGAGAACTGGGACACAGAGATCAGTTAAATATGGTCACTGTCACCAAGGTGGGGAGAGAGGACAGATGAACACAGAATCACTAATACACTAATACAAGGTTAAGGATACCAAGCAGGGGTGCCTGGCTGGCTTGGTCAGTAGGGCATGCAACTCTTAATCTTGGGAGTCGTGGGTTCAAACCCCACATTGGGTGCAGAGGTTACTTAAAAAGGGGGGGTATCAAGAAGATACCCTGGAGGGGTGAGAGCTATGATATCGATGTGGCTAGTGGCTACTACTGGGTAGTGTTGGGTTAGAGATGTTTTGTAGATTTAGGCCTTGGGAAGGATTAGGGTTTGAGAAAAAGAATGGTATGAGCAAAAGCACAGAGGTGTATAAATAAGCAACTTGACTGAATGGAAGTGGGGAATGAGTGAAACCACATAGCACAGAAGTTAGGGGCAAAGGCTCTGGTGCTAGCCTGCCTGGGTTCAAAGACCTGCTTTTCCATATACTGTTGTGACCTTGACTTTCTATGCCTGATTTCTCAGCTGTATAGTAGGGATAATAACCCTTGCTGTAAAAGTAGATGAGTTCATACACACAAGGTACTTCTCTTAGAACAGTGCTTATAAGTGGTAGTAGCAGTAAGCACCTGGCAGCAGAGGCTGGGAAGTTGCCAGAGGCCCGGCCATAGAAGCCTAGGACGTTATTCCTCAGGGCAACAGAACGCCTGTGAAGTTCCCTCACCAGGAGGAACAGGAGGCATGGAGAGGCGGCCACCGGCTTTGCAAGCACAGCTCACTTACCCTCCTCCTCAGCTCTCCAGGCTGAGTGCCGTCCTCCCCGCTGTTTTCAAAGCCCCCCCACCCCTTTGTCCCAACATTGTTTTATCACTGTTACAAACGGTGTTCCCTCTCCAGGTGGGAAATGCCTTATCATAATCACCTCCGTCCACATGGGCTAGCATACAGTAAGCCTCAATAATACTGCAGATCCAGTATACCAGAATACCAGACGAATCCGTCAACAGTAGGGAATGGGGGTGTAGGCAGTAGGGTGCGCTGCAACCAGTGCAGACGGAGGTGGCTAAGGTCAGGCTGATCAGGGCCCCACTTCTTTCTCACAGGTGGACATCTCATCAGGGATGGCCATTGAAGGAATATGCTACGCCCAGGTACGTGACTGCTGCCAGTCCGCGCACACTTCCAAGCAGAGGCCAGGCCAAAGTGGGGAGCCTTGTGCCATACGTGACCAATCTAGTAGGTTCCTCCTAACCTGAAGAGTTAGACTCTGGACCACTCCCTCTTAGAAATTAGCCCGGGGCAGTCCTAGGGAACCCACCTGCTTCTCTCTGGGGCTGCGGCCTCAGCCATCTAATTGTGGTACAGCCTGCCACACTCGGTGCACCCAGAATCACGGAGCACACAGGTAGGTGCCTGTCAAAGCACCACTTCTACTCTCTGTACTGGCGGCTGCTGTAGAGGCCAGGCTGGAGTTGGGATGTCACGGCCGTGGTTATAGCCTGCAGGCTGTGTGTTCAATGGGGGTGAGGGGGGGACGGAGGGGTGACCTGGGGCTGACTTATTTAGCCCTGGACTCCTGGGTGAGTCAAAAATACTAATCTCTAGAGGTTAACAAATATCCACAATACTCTTAAACAAGGAGTCCTGGAACTTGCAGAACCTGGTGTGAACTAACTACACACCAGACTCAAAGCCAGATTTCTTACTGCAAAACTTAACTGTTTTTCTCTACTAAGCAGCCGCATATCAGACTGCTGCAGACTATCATCTCTCTGGGGCATGTAAGCAGTGTGCAAGAGGCTAATGTGATAGGCCACGGATGCTAGAGATGTGGCCTGCCTTCCCCAGGAGACCAAGGAGCCACTGAGGCCCATACCTCTGCCTGGCCCATTACCAGAGTCAAGAGACAATGGAAAGATGTAGACTCTGACCTTGTCAGGCGGTAGACAAGTTTGAGCAAGTCTTTATTGGCCTCTGGCCCTGCAGCTCCCCCGAAAATTAATACTCTGTCTTATTTCAGAACATCCCCACTCAGGACCGCCTAGAGGGCATGGCAGCCTTCAGGGAGAAGCGGCCCCCCAGATTTGTTGGCAAGTGACTCCCATTTAACTATAAGCATGGGAGACGCCTGCCTTCCAGGGCAGGATCCAGAAGGAAAATTAGCAGGGTGACTGGTCATCATTTCACCTCTCTGGGCTTCAGTCTCCTCACAAGGACAAGGACAGATATAAAACCACTGGAACGGTGTTTGACACCAAGGTACTGCCGATGTCACCTACAGCTACATTCCTAATCCCTCATCCTGGCTAGATAATCACTGGGGTCAAGTTGGCTTTGGAGAGTATGTCTCTCCCTACTCAAACGGTAAACTAACGATTAAAACAGACCACTCTGGGACTTCGTATTATTGGCTCTCAGGCCTGACCTCTGCCTCTCAGTTATCGGGTGCTCACCAGAGATGGCAAATGTTGTAAGAACCCTCCAGTTTCTTCCTCTGTACAACAGAGATAATACAGAAACCCTGGTAGTGGCTAAACAGGCATCAGGAATCAGACTGCAGATCCCAGCTCTGTGCCATTCATTGTGTGCCTCAGCTTCCTCATCTGCAAAATGAAACTGCTGTGAGGATTAAAAAAAAAACCTATGCCTCATGTTCAATAAACCTGAGTTATGACTGATTAATGTACAGTGTTTTTAATAGAACCAAATGAAATTATCACTGAGAAAACTTTTTGTGAACTCTATAGGGTGGCAGGCAATCTTCGATGGCTGCAGTATATAGCCCTCAGGAGCACTGAGAAGGGAGCATTAAGTCTGAGGGAGAGAACAAAGGAAATGGGCAGGTAACACTGGAGTGAAGCCCAAAGGTTCAACAGACATTTGTGGCAAGGAGAGGGGGGCTGAGGGGGAACAGCAAGAGTGAAGGTGAGCAAGAGGACGACACACTTAGAAATGATGGGGCTTGATAAACACATATGCACACTAGCTAGCCCTCCTCCTGGACCAAGGTAGAGAAGGCTGCATCTTATGCTGCGGCCTTATGGCCATTCTTTAATTCATCTGAGCTCCCGGGGCCTAGGTCTGACCTAGAGACACTAAGCCAAGGGCACAGATATATACTCCCTCCCTCCCATTGTTGATATGCTGCTAAATACAAGTGTGCCCAAGGCTGGGTGCTCTTTTCCTGGAAGGAAGAGTAAGAGAAAAGTCCAGGCCATAAAACCAGAACCAACCATATTAGCTGGAACTATGCATTAGCTCTAACTACTCCGGAAAGTAACAACCTTACTGAACGTCCTTTTTCTCATCTGTGAAATGAGGAGAATACAACTTCTCTCTCCCAGACGACTGTTGTGAATGAAATGAAACTTGGAGGGGTGCCTCAACAGGCACTAGTTCCTACCACATTCTCTCACATTAGCAAGAGCTAGTATCTGGTAACAGGATGTTCTAAAGTACTAGAACCCAGGTCAGGAAATGAAGACAGCCTTTTGGAATTATGCAGAACAGTGAATAAGAGAAAATACGGTGCAGTTTCAGAACTGTAGAAGGAAACAGGTTACAAATTCCCCTTATCCAGTGGGACACTGGTGAGCAAGAATCTGGAATATGATTCAGAGGGTAAACCTCATTTGATTCCAAAAGATGGTATACAGTACTCCAGTTAAGAGTCTGGCCAGCTAAAAGCACAAATATCTAGTATGAAAATACGCTACTCATCAAAAAGGAATTTACTTTTGTTCTTTGGACAGATGAATGGCAAGACACATTTTGTTAGCTGTCAGTAATTAGGAAGGAATTGATACTCTGTTCCACAGGGGAGGTTTGCAAAGGACACAAACAGAAGCTTCTGGTACTGTATACTGCAGGTGAGGTTGGTTCTCAAAAGCCCCTATTTTTCTTGCCTCCATTCTAGGCAAGAGCACTCTTGAAATCTATAGCAAAGTCTTTTTTTCTGGCTTCCTCCTCTTCCTGGGTTGGTCACAATCCCACTAAAATCAAAACCTTACAGGATCAAGATTTACAGTCCCCATATAATCTTCATCTAAACACTCTACTTGAAGTCCTAAATTCTACTATTTTCCACCACCACACCCACTTACACAGCATGTTATGTTCACTCAGTCTAATGTGTAAAGTTGGAGGAAGAAAGGCCAGAGGCAGAATATCCAAAATTGTAAAAAAAAAAAAAAAAAAGTTATTTTTCTTCCCTCTACCCCCACAAGTGGAAGATACTTCGGTATTTATTTTTAAAAAATTCCCCCCACCTTGTTCCTCCCCTCCAATGGAGATTCTGCCTCCAATAAGCATGTATTTCCCAGAACTTTTTCACGTACTTCTTTTCTATTAGCTTCACATAACTAGAAATAACAACTCAGGATATTCTTTCAAACATGAAATTTAACATAAATACGAAGGTCTCCCTGTTGGTCTTTCTTTTCCCCTTCCTCTGACAAACTCCCACAGTTAAGAAACTGGTCAGGGTTAGGAAAAGTAACTGGCAGAGCTGTTGCAACACAAGCTCACAGATCTTCCCACGGAGTCCGAGACTTGATTTTGCAAAACTATTGAAGGGGTGTTCTCAGAATGATTCCAACTTGATTTGGGATTATGGCTATCATTCAAATCCAACCTTTTTGTAGCCTACAGAAAATCAACAATAAAAGGCCAGTGAGGCGGCCAACTCACAAACTCCAATGACAACTGGTTTCAACATTCAATTACTGGCAACGCAGAAGTCCTGACACTGAGAACAGAGAGCACCTCTGAAGCTCCAGAGGTTAAGAAGGGCATTCAACACAGAAGGGGTCTCTGATAGTTCATGAAATGCATTCTGAAGTCATCTAGCATGGAGGTTGCAATCTGCTGTGCTTGGGGGTCTGCCTCACTGTGCTTCTGGATGTCACACAAAAGCTGCAATCCTTCTTCTTCAACTAACATTTTGCAGTATTTGCTGGCTGAAAGAAAATCAAACAAAGAAACCTGGTGGACAAATTGGCATTTTAAATATTCCCAAGTCACCACATTCACCGTTTTGAAGAAAGGGTACCAAGGTTTAAGCCCCTTGACATAAGAATTAACAGATAAAATTAGTCAATTCAAAAGAAATATGTCAAAACTTAAATAATGCTTGACTTGTGTAGTGCGGTAACAAATGATTATTTTAGTATGTTTACTTCCAGACAACTCTAAGCTTCAAAATCTCTAATCCTAGCTAAAAGAATAAGAACTTCATTTATTATATATATAATAAACATTTCAAGTTCAGGCATTATGTTGAGCTAGATAACCTGAAAACACCAGATGCTGGATAAAAATGTAACAAAAAATTTAAATGCATATTCATGTGTACAAAGTAAAGGATTTGTCCAGGAGCCAGATACAAAGAGCAGAGAGCACCTAAACTCATGTAACTACCTAGAGTTATTCTGGGGCAGAAAGGGACTGTGAGTTTCAGTAATCCAAGAATTTAGGTTTTAACTTACGAAGTTAAAAGCAGTATGTATATAATAAAATATATATCAGTGCATAAAGCTGGTCCCTCAAAGGACTATACAGGAGAAGGGATAAGACAATGAAACATCTTTAAGATTGGTCTGGGCTCTAGGTGGGTATACAGGAGTGGGCTGGACAAGTCTTTCCCAAGAATTCCTAACCACAGTACTGAGTTGGTATAGGATTTGAATTTAACCTACACCTAAATGTTCTGGGAACCCTTGAGCTGAGAAGTTAACATAAAAATTAGTTCAATCCCCGAGAAACCTCTAGAGCACCTGACAGAAGCAAATACAAAATTGCCGAAGGAACATGTCTACAACGCAGCCTAGAAAAGATTCTCTTAATCAGTCCAAAAGCCAATTAGACACAGAGAGATATAATGATCTAAAAACACTGCAGTTACCAAGAATGTAGCACAAAGAAACAGACATGGAAATTGTTCTTTTAAACATTTAAAAAATATATTTTATTTATTTATTTTTGAGAGAGAGAGAGAGTGAGTGAGAGTAAGGAAGGGGAGAGGGACAGGGACAAGCTGGCCCCATGCCCTGCACGGAGCCCCATGTGAGGCTCAATCCCACAACCCTGAGATCACAACCTGAGCAGAAATCAAGAGGCAGACGTTCAACCAACTGAGCCACTCAGGCATCCCTGAAATTATTTTTTAAGTCTACAGGATGTGTAGGATAAAGTGAGAGAAGATACAAGATACTTCTGATAGACATTCCATAAGGAAAGTATAGGGAAAGGGTAATATTTTTAAATAGCTGAGAATTTTCATCAATTTTGAAAAGTTTAACTGCGACCTGAAATCCAGAGGCCATATAACAAAAGGCTGACTAAACACAATGAACAAAGTCAAGATGATAAACTGGGAAAAAATATTTGTACGAGTTCCTTCAAATTAAAAAGAAAAAGACCAACAAACAATAGATAAAAGGTGAATAAAGAATATCAATAGACAATTCAAGGGAAAAAAAAAAGGACTCTTCATTATAAGATGGTTAACTGCACTTAAAATGTCAAGTGAGACTATCACTTTCACCTTAGATTGGCAAAGATCAAAAAGTTCAATTAAACATTGTTGTAAGAATGTAAGGCGACTGGCAAGCTCTCATACATTGCTGGCAGGAATGAAAATTGGTAATCAATTCTCTGGAAAACAGTTTAGCGATAACTATCAAAATTATAAGTGTTCCTAACATTTTGACTCAGCAATTCTACATATTCTGCAGATGAACTCACACGCTTGCAAAATGATGTATTTTATTTAATAAATGCTATGTGCTATGTGTGAACTAATACTATGTTATGTACAAATGCTAATACTATGAGCCAAGCAGTGTTTTAAATGCTTAACAAATATTAACCCACTTAATTCTCATAAACAGCCCTGTGAAGTAAGTATTATTTTATAGATAAGGAAACTGGGACACAGTGAGGTCAAGTAACTTGCTCAAGTTCCCACGGTTAGTAAATGGCAGAAACTGGGAACAGAGCACAGATAGTCTGGTTCTAGCATCTGTCCTCTTAATTACCCACATGTGCATCTTCACCTGATAGATATAGTGCATAAATGTCTATTCATTGTATATGAATATGTTAATATTCACTAAACTAGTGCTTACAATAGAAAAGACTAGAAATAGAAACAATGTCCATCTAAAGCAAACTGGATCCATATAGTGAAGAAATACTAAGCAGTTTAATTCATAGTGGTGATGTGGAGTTCTGCCAGTTGCTAGCTATTTTAACTTTGGGCAAGTTACATAAGTTCTCTGTGCCTTGTTTTCTCATCTGTAACAGATGGATAATAAAAATAATAATGCTACCCTCTTCTAGTTGTTGGGAAGATTAAATGAGTTAACTCATAAAGAGCTTGCAATACTGCCTGACACAGAGAAAGTACTCAACTAAGTTCTAGTTGTTATAGTTATTGCTAGTCTGTTCCAGGGCCATTCTGACTGGCAAATCTGCCTGTATCTGTTCAAATGCCAGCACCATTCACAATACTTTTTTTTTTTCTTTAAGATTTTATTTATTTATTTACGAATGCAAGAGAGAGAGCAAGGGAGCACGAGTGGGGGGAGGCAGAGGGAGAAGCAGACTCCCCACTGAGCAGGAAGCCAGACACGGGGCTCTATCCCAGGACCCTGGGATCATGACCTGAGCCTAAGGCAGACTCTTAACTGACTGAGCCCCCCAGGCACCCCTCAGAATACTTTTTTACAATTTAAAGAGAAGTGTTAAGGCAGGTTCCTAAAAACCATTTTTCTTGGGGCACCTGGGTGGCTCAGATGGTTGGGCATCTGCCTTTGGCTCAGGTCATGATTCCAGGGTCCTGGGATCAAGCCCCACATCGGGCTTTCTGCTCAGCAGGGAGCCTGCTTCTCCCTCTCCCTCTGTCTCCCCACTGCTCATGCTCTCTCTCTCTCCCCGTTATCTCTTTGTCTCAAATGAATAAATAAAATCTTTAAAAAAAAAAAAACAACAAACCATTTTTCTTGGTCAGTTCTTTCCTGCTTACTCTGCCAGGTTAACTTTAGAATAATTTTCAAATCCCTCATATCACACTCATCCACTTGAATTATAGTATATCCAAAAATTGAAAAGATCTGACATCTGTCTCTTAAAAAGTCTTTCCATCTAGGAATATAGTATGTCTCATAATCACTTCAGGTTTTTCAATTATTTCTCAATTTTCTGCATATAGGTCTCATATTTGTTAAAGTTATTTTTGGTATTTTATACTTTTGTTGGTAGCTAATCCTTTAATTCTAAAAGTTAGCTCTTGAGTTTTTTAGCATAAAAATATAGCCTATATTTCTTTTATAATAAGAGCAATAATTTTTTACAATAATCCTTAGCAGAGAATGTAAGCCCCCAATGCTCAAAACAGCCAAACATGGAAAAACATTTAATCTGGCTGGGAAACAGCTCCTGACTCCTGATCCCCCAGCCTCCCACAGACCATTACAAAGAGGTAGATGTATGTATTACTATAGGAAAAGTATTATTCATGATAAACTGTTGACTGAAAAGAGGAAGCTATAGGACATCATGCACAGAATGAGCCCATTTCATTTAAAAACATTCAATTATTCATATTATATATTAACATATATAAGCTCTCCTTCCCCCTCCTTTTTCTGCCTTCTGAGCTGCCCAGGATGGTACGAGCAGCGGCATGCCCCGCCTCCAGTGGAGGGTGAGGAGTGGATGGTGGCCCTAAGCTGTGAGTCAGGAGGGCAGACAGAAGCCATCCACCGCCAGCTCTGGTGCCCTTGAATGTGTTTGCTCCATATCCCTGACAAGGCCTCCAGGAAATAAAGATCATCTGACTTTAAAAAAAAAAAAAAAAAAGAATAATATATATTTTATATATTAACTACGGTATGTGTATAGAAAAGTATTTGGAAGGACAGTTATAGTTACCAAATTATTAACAGTACTTGCCTGTGGGGAATAGGAGTGGGAGCCAACTTTCACTTTCTATACAGCTTGACATTGACCCCCAAATATATAATACTATAGCATTTTATTTTATAAGTTTTTTTTTATTTTTTTAGATTTTATTTATTTATTTGACAGAGAGAGAGACAGCGAGAGAGGGAACACAAGCAGGGGGAGTGGGAGAGGGAGAAGCAGGCTTCCCGCAGAGCAGGGAGCCCAATGCGGGGCTCGATCCCAGGACCCTGGGATCACGACCTGAGCTGAAGGCAGACGCTTAACGACTGAGCCACCCAGGCGCCCCAATTCTATAGCATTTTAAAAAACTGTTTATTTAAATTCAGTTTAATTAACATATACATATTATTAGTTTCAGAGGTAGAATTCGGTGATTCATCAGTTGCATACAACACCCAGTGCTCATTACTTCAAGTGCCCTCTTTAATGCCCATCCCCCAGTTACCCCATTCCCCCAATTCTGTAGCATTTTTTAAACAAAAACATTTTCCAATTTCTTTTTTAAAAGAGTTAAATTCAGGGGGCGCCTGGGTGGTTCAGTTGGTTAAGCGTCTGACTCTTGATTTCAGATCAGGTCATGATCTCAGGGTCATGAGATCGAGTCCTACATTGGGCTCCATGCCCAATGAGGAGTCCACTTGAGACTCTCTCCTCCTGCCCCTCCTCCCCCCATACCCTCTCTCTAAAATAAATAAAATCTTAAAAAAAATTAAAATAAAACAGAAGAGTTAAATTCAGTACATAGGTGAACACATTTCCAAAATTCCATCTTGAATTTAGTCTTTATACAGAAAAATAGCTGGAAAACTATTGTTTTGAATACATACGGTTTTTACTGCAGACATGATACATTGCCCATAGCGCCCAGAGCTGAACTGCTGGTTGAGAGAAGTTGCCAAGGAGTGGGAAAAATGCCTTGAAGGATCTAAAAGGGCACAAAGAAGTTCATTCAGAACTCTGGCTAGTGTCAGAGATATAATAATTATTTTCAACCTTTTCCACATAGAGTCATTTCCTGAGACAGACACATTGTTGAGCATATATCAGAAGCTAATGTTTAAGAAACTGCATTTGTGTTAGATACTCTTTACATTCAATATCTCATTTCATCCTCAATCTTGCCTCATTTTACAGATGAGAAAAACTGAGTCTCAGAGATCTTCTAAAAGTGATTTTCCCAAAATCATAGAAATAGGATTTGAACACAAGGTTATTTGACTATAATATTTTATCACTGTACCATGGCCTCTACATAGTACAATGAGGACAAGCTTTAAGAGAAGTACTATACAATCACGAGATTACCTGTAAGTCACCAATGCTGTCATCTTACAACTTGAACTTGGCCAATTCTGGATGGTTGCATACTATACAGAAAGAGAAACCAAGATTCTAGTATTGTGTTCCATAATTTTTAAAAGGTCATAATAGGCTATTTTATGTCATTTATACTTATATGTATATGAAAAAACATTTTCAAAATATGGGAATGATCACCCAAATTAAGGTATCCCTACCTGCCAAAATATCAATTAGATAACCATTATATATGTAAAATATGAACAAAGTCGTGTGGAAAACAGTGCAATAAAAGGGGGCTTCTGTTTAAAGATGCAGGATTGAGCATGCATCCATTCCTTCCCTAAATCCCATGAACAGAATAGTACAAATGGTTTAAAATAAAAGAAGGCAAACACACAAGAACAAAGCAGAAGGAAAATGGTAACTGAATTAATAGATCTAGCACTGGGGAATGTTAAAAAATGAACCAATTTGAACAGAACCCACAAGAGACTTAAAAATTTGCACACCAGTTACTTCAGGAAATGAGATTAGAGGTAAGATTGAAAACAGGAGGACTGGTTGAAAGTACTAAAGAATCAAGACTCCCAGATCTTCTCTCCCACCCCTAACAAAAATTTCTGGACTGGGCAACCTTGCAAACAACTGAGGGTGGGAGTACCATGATAAAAACAGGGGATGAAGTGAAAATCTAAATGGTAAATGCTCAGAGTCCCTTGTCCTCAACTCTCTTCCTCTAATGGGCTTTCAGACCGTTGGAGCCAAACTTGTAATTTTCAGTCAGAAGAACAGAAGATTCTTCCTCAGGTAAATTCCAACCAGCTCAGGACAAAAGATCTAGTAACAATGACAATGACTAATCCAGATCACTCTAAGTGAAACCCACAGTTGACAAGTTCTACCCATCTGCACGCAGCTTCCAAACAGCCCCACTCTTAGATATGACTGGACAGCTGAGGATCACCATACAGTTTAAGAAAATCTGTAACATAAAGGAACAAAATAAGGGGAAAAAAGCAACTTGCAGGAAACAGAGACCTTGAAGGAAGAGAAAAACTTAAAAAAACAAACAAAAAAACCACCCAAACTAATCACTAATACCTTTAAAGAGATAATAGATACAGCAACCATGGAAAAAGAGTACGATATTGTAGAAAAAAAGAAGCACTCAGAACAAAAAAAGAGTTCTTAGAAATTAAAAACAGAAATATAAAAATACAATATAAATATGTAACTATACACAATAAACATTAAAATATATATAAAATATAAAGATATATTAAATGTACATTATATTATATAAATTATATAACATAAAATTATATTAAAATATATAATGAAATATATAAGATAAAAACATAAATGCAAAATCCAATAGGACTGGAAATTTAAAAAGATTTTTTTTAAAAAGGACAAAAAGGGAAATAGGCAAGAAAAAATTGAGTCCGTGAAGGCTGACAACCCAGAAAAAAAAAGAGGAGAACGAGGGAAGGTAGGAAGGAGGGGAGAAGAGAGAAGGGAGAAAGAAAGAAATTTCCCAGAACTAAAGGAAACAAGCTTCCAGAGCAATAAGTAGCCAACATAACAGAAGAAAATAAACCTATATCAACGCACACTGCTGAGATTTCTAAACACTGAGGACAAAGATCTTAAAGGTCCCAAAGGAAAATGGCATGTGGCTTAACAGTGATACCAAGAAAGAAAAGACAAAGAAGCCAATGGCTTAAAAATTCTCAAGTGAAAATATTCCAAAACTAAAATTCTATACCCAACCATGTGACCAATTAAATGTGAAGGAAAAATAATGGCCTTTTCAAACAGAGGTCTGAAGTTTTCTATTTCATGCATTTCGTCTTAGGAAACTACTAGATATGATCCAACAGAATAAGGGAGTACATAAAAAAAAAAAGAGAGAGAGAAAAAAGGAATGCAATCCAGAAAACAAGGAATCCAACACCAGGGAGGCAAATCCCCACAATGACAGTAATGGAATATACCAAGATGACAGCAGTATGGCAGATACACAAATAAGCAGACCAGATGGAAGAAAACAGAAGGTTCTGAGAAAAGTCTCTGAGAAGCTGAAATGGATAGAGTTTGTTTATGCTGAAAGGAGATTTATACTTGGGAGTATAGGAAAGGGTGTGCACAGAGACAATGAGAAAAAGAATCTTCATTTTCCAGAGAGAGAAAATGAATGAACAGATAATGCCTATTACTGCAAAGTCAAGAAGTACCAACAGATGTTACTTAGAGATATGGAGGCAAATACCAAAAGAAATAGCCTGAAAAGGAGCTGAAAGTGGGAAAGAGAACTGGTAAAGCCATATACAACTGTTTGCAATGGTAACTTTTATAAAAGAAAAATATCAGAAGGAATGTAACAAAATATTAACAAAGTTAGCACTGGATGGTAGGGTATGAGTGACTTAGAATATTTTCTTTATACTTTTCTATTATGTTTCCCATTTTCTACAATGAAAACATATTTCTAAAATTCTTATTATTTAGAAAAATAAGTTTCCTACAAGAAGAGATTACTCCAGATTTTGTAAAGAGGAATGGTCCTTGTACCAGATCCTGGAGAAGAGCACTCCTCTGAAGGTCATGGGACATCCAGGGCTGTTTGTCAGATGTCAGGTGGGCTATGATGCCTGCAGCAAAATAGCTGACTTCCATTTCTTTGCTATGGAGCAAGCTGCTAATATGTTTCAGCACATCTTCAGTCACCAGCTTGGAAGAGAGTTCTCTAACTTCAGCTATGTTGTTCTACAGGTCAGATGAAGCAGAAAATATCAGGGATAGAAAGGAAGACAGAATCAGACACTGGCTCCTCTCCCTCTCCTACTGCTTAGCTCAGATACAGACAGAACACTTAGTCCCATCCTCCTCCCTCTCAATTTAGCCTAATACCCCACAATCCCACCCCTTGATGATGAGGATGATCAGTAACGACAAATCACTGAGTAAGCACTTACTAAGTGCCAGGCGCTGTACTAGACAAAAATGTCTTTTTATCTGCCTTATCTCATTTAATCTTTTTTTTAAAGCTTTATTTATTTATTTGAGAGTGTGAGCATGCACAGTGGGGAGGCGCAAACAGAGAGGAAGAGTCTTTTTGTTTTTTAAGATTTTATTTATTTGAGAGAGAGAGCATGAGAGAGAGAGAGAGAGAGAGAGAGAGCATGAGAAGGGGGAGGGTCAGAGGGAGAAGCAGACTCCCCACCAAGCAGGGAGCCCAATATGGGGCTCAATCCCAGGACTCCAGGATCATGACCAGAGCCGAAGGCAGGCCCTTAATGACTGAGCCACCCAGGCAGCGGAGGAAGAGACAGTCTTAAGCAGACTTCACGCTGAGCTTGATCCCACGACCCTGAGATCACAACCTGAGCTGAAACCAAGAGTTAGACGCTCAACCGACTGTGCCCCCAGGAGCCACTCAGTTAATCTTTAACATAGTTGTACAAATAAATAAGTCACTCAGCAAGACTTAACTTGTCAGTCAGTGAACTTGTCAGGTTCACACTGCTAATAACTGGTTGAAACTAGAATAAAATCCAGGCCTGACTGAATATTTAAAGTTCCTCAGTGCCTACTATATGTTACATTAGCTTGAAATTTAACAATAACAATGAAAGACAGGTGGCACTGTATTTTATATGTATGAGTTTTCTATGTTGTTGTTTAACAAACAACTGCAAACTTGGTGGCTTAAAATATTTTTTCTCTCAGTTTCATCCATGTGCTTAGCTGGCCCCTCTACTCTGAGATCTCACAAAGTCACAAAGTGCTGGCTGGGCTGCATTCTCATCTGGGGGCTCCGCTAGAGGGAAACCTACTGCCAAGCTCACTCAGACTGTTGGCAAAATTCATTTCCTTGCAGCTGCAAAACTGAGGGTTTCAGTTTCTTGCTGGAGGCCACCTTTAGCTCCTAGAAGCTGCTCATAGCTCCTTCCCATGTGGGTTTCTCCCTTCTCCAACCACTTATTTCATGGCAGCTTGCTTTTTCAAAGACAGTTAAGAAGAGTCTCTTAGCATACCTACTAGCAAGAAGGATTGACACAGAAGTCCCCTCTTATCTGTGGGGGACATGTTCTAAGACCCCAGTGGATATGCCTGAAACTGCAGATAATACAAAACCCTATATATACTATGTTATGTTTTTTCTATATATACATACCTACAGTAAAGTATAATTTATAAATTAGGCACAGTAAGAGATTAACAACAATAATAATAGAACAATGGTAACAATATAATAAGTTACACGAATGTGGTCTCTCTCAAAATAACTTATTCTACTGTACTCACCCTTCTGCTTGTGATGAGATGATAAAATGCCTATATGACAAGATAAAGAGGTGGATGACATAGGCATGTGACAGCGTTAGCCTACTACTGACTTTCTGACTCTTCGTCAGAAGAAGGATCACCTGCTTCCACATTGCAGGTAACTAAAACTGTGGATTGGGGGTGTGTCTACTGTATATACATTGTAACATAATCATGGGAGTGATGTCCTATCATTTTTGCCATATTCTGTTGGTAAGAAGCAAGTCACAGTTCCTGCCCACACTTGACAGGAGGGCATTACACAAGGACATGAACACCAGGAGAGAAGAATCACTGGAGGTCACTTTAGGGTCTGCCTACCACAGAGATTAAAAAACAAAGGTTTAGAAGTGAAACACATATTTAAATTGCACACAGCAGTTATTGTTCCTTCTGAAGTAGCTTTCAGAAAAGCATACCCTAGAAACTAGTATGTTAAAAGCAGCATATGGCACCATGCAGAAAACTGCATTGTTCTGAGCTCACTTCCCCCAGTTTTTCACAAGACCAGCTGTACCCTATTGATTTCAGCAGAAACTGCACTATTTTGAGATTTACCCCCGTTTTTCCCCAAAGCCAGCTATACATATCCTCACCAGTAGCAGGATTTCAACATTAAGCTGATCAGATGGAAGCCCTGAACAAGGAGAGACAACACAATAGCATCCTTAGCATAACTGAGCACACCTTAGATGAATCTCAAGATTTCTCTTGTAAGCCTGGCAGAGGCTACTTTTCTAGCAGCTTTTTCATTTCAAGAGTCTATGAACAAAATGTTGAGAAGATGCAAGCTACAGGAGAATGTGGGTCTTCTTCATTCAGAAAAAGGAAGGAAAGGGGGCAACCTCATAAATCCTCAGCATTCTGAGAGTCTCTCAGAAAAAAAGCAAAAGATCTTTTAGAATAGGTTAGCTGAGGGGCACCTGGGTGGCTCAGGTGGTTAAGAATCCGACTCTTGGTTTTGGCTCAGGTCATGATCTCATAGGTCATGGGATCCGGCCCTGTTTCGGGCTCTGTGCTCAGCAGGGAGTCTACTTGAGATTCTCTCTCTCTTCTCTCCCTCTGCCCCTCCCCTTGCTCTCTAAAATAAATAAATAAATCTTAAAAAAAAAAAAAAGGTTAGCTAATAGTAGGACACTTAACATTATATAGCATATATGAGGCTCCAATCCACCATTCTGGCCTTATTTTCTATTGCTTTTCTTCTTCCCACCATCTCCCAGAATTCTAGATATTCTGTATTACAGTGTCCCTCAAATGATTACATTTTCTCATCTTCCCTAGCCAAAAGACCTTTGTCTCCTGCTTTAGTCCCTCCTTTCTACTTTTCTATACCTTCCAGATTTCCAATATTAATCATTTAATCCTCTCTACTCTGTTCCAAGTCCTATATGTGCTAGGGATACAAAGGAAAAGATATAGTCCCTGCTTTCAAGGAGGGCATGATCTAGAATCAAAAGCTCCCATGAGACTTTGTGCTTCTTTTCTAGCACTTACCATAGTCAATCTTAAGTTGGAAAGCTATTTGTATACCCGTCTACCACCACCTCCCAAGTGTTATAAGACCATCAGCTTGATACATTTCACGCACAGCAAACTGAAGGGACTTACAGTATATCTTCATTACTTTTTGTAAATCTTCACCTTTATCTTTTGGAAACAAAGAAATTTCTCAATTATGGATATCCTGATTGAGAGGTAGTATAACAGTATAAGCAAAGAAATTTTTTTTTAAAGATTTATTTATTTATTTTAAGGGGTATGGGGTTGGGGAGGGGCAGAGGGAGAGGGAGAGAGAAACTTAAGTAGACTCCACATTGAGCGTGGAACCTGACACCGGGCTTGATTTCATGGCCCTGAGATCACGACCTGAACCAAAGAGTTGGGACACTTCACTGACTGCACTACCCAGGTGCCCCAAAGAAATTTCCAAACAACTGATTGCCTTGATAAAAAGGAAGTATAGTGGGCGCCTGGGTGGCTCAGTCGGTTAAGCGACTGTCTTCGGCTCAGGTCATGATCCTGGAGTCCCTGGATCGAGTCCCACATCGGGCTCCCTGCTCGGCAGGGAGTCTGCTTCTCCCTCTGACCCTCCCCTCTCTCATGTGCTCTCTCTCTCAAATAAATAAATAAAATCTTTAAAAAAAAAAAAAAGGAAGTATAGTAAAGTGGTTAATATCAGAGGGTCTGGGGCCAGACTGCCTGAGTTTGAATTCTGATTCTGCCTCCTACTACCTAGGTAACATAGGGTAAATGGCACTTCTGTGCCTCAGATTGTGTGTCTATAAAATGCAACTAACAATGTGTGGTAGAGTATAGAACATAGCACAATTTTTCCTATCCCTGTTTGACTTAGCCATGTGACTTCCCTGCTTCTCCCATCAAGGGGTGCTCACCTCCTTTAATCTGGGCTTAACCATGGGCATATAATAAGAAATATACATTTTGTCTTTGTCCCGAATTCTTGAAATCCCTTGGATTTCTTAAGTCCCTTGGAATTTCCCAAGTGATAGAAGCATCTTTGTTCTAATGAGGCAACTCTTGGCAGGCACCTAAATAGCTTCAGGATGAGGACTGGTTCCCAAAAACCACCTTAACTAGAAGCCTGGGCTTTAAGCCCCACCCTATAACTTCTGGGGGATGGGAGAGGAGCTGAAGACTGAATTAATAATCAATTACGCCTATGTGATGAAACCTCCATAAAAAGTCCTAAATGATGGGTTTGGAGAACTTCTAAGTTGGTGAACACATCAAGGTACTGGGACGTGGTGTGCCCAGAGAGAGAATGGAAGCTCTGCATGTACCCATCCTTCCTGCCCTATACACTTCTTCCCATTTCAATGTTTCTCAGTTGTATTCTTTATAATACACTGATAATAGCAAGTAAAGTGTGCCTTCCTGAGTTCTGTGAGCCCTTCTAGCAAATTATCAACCTGAGGAGGGGAAACCCTTACTTTACCGCCAGTCAGGCAGAAGTACGGGTGGCCCAAGACTTAATGACTGGCAACTGAAGTGGGGGCAGTCTCATGGGACTGCGCCCTTTAACTTGTGAGATCTGATGATAACTCCAGGCACTCAGCGTAAGAACTGAATTGAACTGAACTGTAGGATATCCAGTTGCTACTGGAGAGTTGGAGAAGTGATTACTAGGAAACACCCCAGACCACCTAATGTGCTTTGCCCAATGAGACATTAGAAAATGTAACATAAGCGGGACTTGCCTTCTACTGCTACCCTGAAACTGCCAAATGAAGAAGCCCATGGAGATATAAGCCCTAACTAACAACCTGCACCAACTGTCACAGCAAGAGTCAAGCCATCTTAGAGCATCTAGCTCTAGCCCTAGGTGACACCACCAGGTGTCAGCAGCAACATGAGTAACTCCACATGAGACCAGAAGAACTGTACAGCTGGGTTCAATCTGCTGACCCACAGATTCGAAAGTAAATAACACGGCTGTTTTAGCTGTAGTTTGTTCACAGCAACAGATGACTGATACGGTATTACTTTATAGGGAATTATGTGAAGATTAAATGAGTTAATACACAGAAATTCCTTATAAAAGTGCCTAGCATATAGTAGGTGCTACATAAGTGTTAGTTTTATTTACTTTTTTATTTTAGTAATTAGAATTAACTGAAAACAAGTCACCTTACCCAAAGACCAAGTACTTTGCTTTGTATTGCTGACTCTGAAAAAGTCTGTCAAAAGAATATACAGGTTACTTTATCATGAAGAAAAGAACTTTACATACAAACTCAATCCTGTCTTCCCACCTCCAAGACTTGGATAAAGGTTGTCAATCCTTGATTTTCCATAAAGTGATTGCAGGCAGCTGGAGACTCATCTGTAAGATTCCAAAGTGCTTTCAAAGTAAACAAGAGGGTGACATCATCTAAATTCTCAGTAGTCTTTTGTTTTACTATTGCTAGAAGTTCCTAAAAACCAAAGAGACAAAAAGTTAGATGCCCCAGTGACTGACTTGATTACAAGATAAGAAAAGCAATAGTTGTTATGCCACTTAATAGCTTTGTGATCCATTTTTTCTCTATATAATGAGTTACACCTAATTCCTAAGGTTTTTATGAGGATTAAAGGGGAAAAAAAGTTAAAGTTTTATGAGCACTTAACCTAGTTCTTGGTCCTTGTTAATAAGACTCATAATCAAGTACATATTAACTATTCCATTATTCATTTATTGAGAATGTTTAGTAAACATCTCCTGGAAATCAAGCACTTATTCAGGTGAGACAGATTAAAAAAATAGTTGGTTTTTCTCATCTAAATAAAAGAATTTTAAGTTTTGGTAAATGTTCTGAAGGAAACACATAAAAGCCTAACAATTTATTTTAGAAAAGGTAGGAAAGGGAAGCCTCCCTGCAAAGGTAATATGTAAACTGAGACAAATGAGACCAGCAGAGAAAGAGAGAGATGTGAGTTAAGCAAGAAATGGAGACATGGTGGGGAGGGGGTTAAGCCAGGCCAAAGAAAAAGTATGCTGTTCTAGGTCACTGAGCAGATCAGGATGGCTAGATGGTAACACTAGTACTACAACATATGTTGTAGTACATATCACACATACATACAATCCTCTGAGCTGCACCCTGTATCAAACTGCCTCCTTGACATCCCAAGCACCTCAGAACTTAACACATCTAAAATCACTCTGATTTTTTTAAAAGACTTTATTTATTTATTTGACAGAGAGAGAGACAGGAGAGAGGGAACACAAGCAGGGAGAGTGGGAGAGGGAGAAGCAGGCTTCCCTCTGAGCAAGGAGCCCAATGCGGGGCTTGATCCCAGGACCCTGGGATCATGACCTGAGCCGAAGGCAGACGCTTTAACGACTGAGCCACGCAGGCTCCCCTAAAATCACTCTGATTTTTATCCCCAAACCTACTGACTATAGATACCAAATACTCAGAAGATTCCACTTGTAACAACCATATGTCCTAATAGCTTAAAGAAATCATGGGTTCACTTGAACAGAGATTCTAAAACACCGGTTCAGATCAGAATATTTCTGGACACAAGCCAGTATCCATGCTTTCTTTCAAGCATATTAGACTGTCATGAGAGAGGAAAAAGATAGGTGTTTTCACTCAGCCACCTAATGTAAAGGTACATAAAATATAACAGCACTAAACAAATCAGAGTATGTCTATTTTCAAGAGGAATGAAACCACTTCAAAAATTTTACCCATGGGGCACCTGGGTATTTTTACTCTTCTTATTTGATCACTTCATCTAGTTTTTCAGAGAACTATCGCTGTTCTTCCTAACAAAATCTCCCAGCCTACCTGCTTGCATCAATGTATTCCTCTTTCCCTTCTGCTCTAGTCTAAAGCCAGCATCTTTACTCTTGCTGTACAATTCCAGTACACACACAAAGATTTGGCACCAAATTATTTCCCTCTGTCTTGCCTTTGCCATCAGTTTTCCCCTTTGTGTCAGAATTATTTTCATGGGCATAAAATACATCTTAATGTAACTGATCTTGGAAAAAAAACAACTACTGGCCCATGTAGCATCTTCCTTTTTCTTTCTTTCTCATTAAAATATATCAAGGGGGGGCGCCTGGGTGGCTCAGTTGGTTAAGCAACTGCCTTCGGCTCAGGTCATGATCCTGGAGTCCCTGGATCGAGTCCCGCATCGGGCTCCCTGCTCGGCAGGGAGTCTGCTTCTCCCTCTGACCCTCCCCCCTCTCATGTGCTCTCTCTCTCATTCTCTCTCTCAAATAAATAAATAAAATCTTTTAAAAAAATAAATAAAATAAAATAAAATATATCGAGGGACGCCTGGGTGGCTCAGTCTGTTAAGTGTCTGCCTTCAGCTCAGGTCATGATCCCAGAGTCCTGGGATTGAGCCCCACATCGGGATCCTTGCTCAGCAGGGAGCCTGCTTCTCCCTCTGCCTGCTGCTCCCCCAGCTTGTATTCTCTCTCTCTCTGACAAATAAATAAATAAATAAAATCTTTAAAAATAAAAAAATAAAATGTATCAAAAAGTTGCCTCCATTTCTCACCTTTCATTTGCTCATCATGTAGTCCAAACAGGTTTTGTCCCACTACTGCACTAACATAATGTAAGCAAGACAACTGATGACTTCTATCTTGCCAAATCCAACTTGGCAACTCTGTCCTCATTTCACTCAACCACTCAATAGCATCTGAATTAACTGCTCAATTTTTCTTGAAATAATTCTCTTGGATTCTAAGACATCACTCTTTCCTGTTTTTCTACTACCTCATTTTAGACACTCCTCTCGCTTTTCCTGGCTCCTCCTTCTCTTCCAACATACTCATTCCAGTCCTTTTCTTTTCTCTCTATATACTCTACACTCTTTAGGTAGGTACTTGCATCCCACATCAGAACTGATGACTCAAATTATTCTCTAGCCCTGTCCACCCAATCCTCTGAGCTGCACCCTGTATCAAACTGCCTCCTTGACATCTCAAGCATCTCAGAACTTAACATGTATAAAATCACTCTGATTTTTATCCCCCAAACCTACTGACTAGATACCAAATACTCAGAAGTTTCCACTTGTAACAGCAATACAAAAGGTAAAGACCTTAGGAATAAATTTAAGAAATACAGAATATCAACATGAAGAAAACACCACATACTTCTGATGTTCCCATTAAAAAAACAAAAGGATAAGGATAACTAAAAGAAACCCAAGGAAAGATCTTAACTATTAAGGAATTTATAAAGCCAATGAATAAAAAGTGTGATATCAGCATATAAATAGACATACAAATTAACACAGCACAAAGTCCAGAAATAGATGCAAACAGATATGGGAATTTAATATATGATAGAGGCAGCAATGCATAACAGTGGAGAAAAGATAATTCACTCAAGAAAAGGTGCAGAGACAGACACTGAGAAGAAAACAGACCCTTACATCTAAAAAAAAGCTCCAAGTAAATCAAGTATTTACATATTAAAAATCATGAGAAATTTTTAGAAATACTTTCAAAATGTGCCATCAACGTCAGAGAAATAAAATAATAAATTGAATCCTATAAACATTTTAAAGTTACTGCACGGCAAAATATGCCCTAAATAAAGTAAAAACAGTCAAACAGCCCAGTGGGGAAAATAGATGCATCTCATATTACAAAGGCTCAATTCCTTAATATATATAGAAACATAAATCAGAAGAAAGCTAGCAACCCAAGGGAAAACATATCAAGGCCATGAATAAACAGTTCACAGGAAACATAAATGACTGGGGGAAGAGGGAGGTATCACAAGCCTCATCTCAAAATAAGTACAAAATAAAACAATGTATGCTTTTTTAGTGAGCAATGTTAGCATAATCATACTGTAAATACTGATTAAAAATTATGATATACTGAAGTATTGAGCACTGTGTGTTATATGCATCTGATGAATCACTGAATTCTACCTCTGAAACTAATAATACAGTATATGTTAATTAAACTGAATTTGAATAAAAAAATTATGATATAAATGTGTTGGGAAGGGAGGTAATTTGTAAAAGATACATGTGGGAGAGCTAAGTTCTTATTTACCATAGCAGCAGAATCACTAGGAAACATCTCAAACTGATAAATCAAGTTAAAAGCATTCTATTTATAGATGTGGAGGTAGATACGAGAAGTAGCAGCTCCAAGAGTAGAAAGTAGTTTCTTCTGGGGAGCAGGTCTTACAAATTTTTCATTTTATAAGCCTTTTAGAATGATTTGACTTTTTAGATTATGTTCATAAATTTTTTATTAGAAAAAAGGTTATGAAAGTGACAACCCACCTACCTTAACTGCCATGAGGAGCTCTTCCTGAAGTTGTGCAGTTTGCTCAGGTGAGAGCTATAAGCAAACAAAAAGCCGAAAGTGAAATACTGGAGGTCTATCAGAGCTCCGTCAAGACTAGAGAGAGAAATCTTGCCTTTAGTGATCACATACCTGCAGGGCTAGAATAGAGGTGATACTCACTGCCATTGTTTGCATCTTGGGGTTCTCATGTTTACAGAGCCATCTCATAACAAACTTGGCAGCATCAAACCTGAAAAGCAGTATTTTTCTCACAATAAAGTTTTAAACTGTACATAAGGAAATCACTTAGCCTCCCCAACAAATCCTGTATCTTAGGTTTCTAAAGACTCAGCTATGAAAATCAAGAGCATCTGACAAAAAGAGAAGATCAGAAGAAGAGAGCAGGCAAATAAGAATGTAAGTGAAATGCAAAGAATTCTAAGAAAGATAAGCAGATCTAAGAAAAGACTTATTTTAAGCATTCAGTTTCTACTATGATGGGTCTGAAAAAAGGGAAAGAATTTCCCCTAGAGGTAGTAATTTATAATCTGAATTGTAGACAATGCTAAAATGCCACAGCAAACACATCATGCAGCTAGAGAGAATGCCTGCCTTTTTAAAGGGGTAGCTGGTAGTCAGCTCCTATTGACTGCAACTGTAGGAATGAAGACTGAGTTGAGAAAGATCTAACTTCTCAAGAGAAGGTAGAAATAGATTTTTTTTTTTAATGAGGAAGACCACCTTCCCTATTGTAATTTTAAAAGTCAACTCTCATTTTAAGCACACATCTCAATTAGATTTGAGAATGGCTTAGCCTACAACTCTGTGCCAACGTATCACAGGCTTTGTTCATGTTAGCCTGTGCTTAATTTTCCTGCCATTAGCGGCAACTATTATAAATGTTTTTGAGCTCATGAATCTGCAAGACTATGAAGTCCTCAGGAGGAGCCCCTTTAGAGTCTATGAAGATGATTTTCTTAATTATTATCAATAAAATAATAAGAATGACTCATGTTTAGAACAGACTCTACTTCTTAAGCTAGGCGCTGCCATAAGTACTTTACATTGTCATGTCTAACCCTCAGAAGAATCACCATTTTATAAATGAGGAAATTAATGCACAAAGATAATGGAAGGGCTAGAACTTGAATCCAAGTATGTTTGACTTTCTGAAGCCCATGTTCTTACCACTCACTACCCTGAACTGGAATCACTTCGGGAGACATTTGCGAGCACAGCTGACCCTGGAACAACACAGGTTTGAACTGTACTGGTCCACTTATACACAGATTTTTTTCAATAAATATACTGGAAAATTTTTTGGAGATTTGCAACAATTTGGAAAAACTCAGACAAACCGCACAGTCTAGAAACATCAAAAAAATTAAGAAAAAGTTAGGTATTTATAAATGCATAGAATATATGTAGATACTAGGTAGTAGTTTCTTTTACTATTTATAACCATAAAATATACACACATCTACTATAAAAGGTTAAAATTTATTAAAACTTATACAAACACTGACCAGTCAAGAGAAATGTAAACAAAACATAAAGATGCAGTATTAAATGGTAACAGCATAAAATTAACTGTAGTAATACTATACAACTGTATTATTTTGCAGCCCCCTCCTGTCAATATGGGGGTGAGCTCAAGCATTGTGAGTATCCACTTAAAATGCCATGCAAAACTAATCACTCCATATGAGCAGTTCGTCTTTCAAGTAAATTGAAAAGTAAAAAGTAATCTCTTACAGTTCTCGCATAGTTTTCATTGTGTTTAGTGAAATACTGTAAACCTTGAGGAACACCATGGGGGGACCCGTACCAAGTGCCACTAGCGATGTTGGAAGTGCTCCCAAGAAGCAGAGAAAAGTCATGACATTACAAGAAAAAGCTGATTGCCTGATATCTACCGTAGAATGAGGTCTGCACCTGGGGGTACCCATCATTTCAAGACAAATGAATCCAGTATAAGGCCCATTGTAAAAAAAGAAAAGGAAATTTGTAAAGTTGTTGGTGCAGCTATGCCAGCAGAAATGAAAACCTTGCACTTTTTGCAAAACACCTTTTTATCTCTTTGAAAATGCAGCTTTTATGTGGGTACAGGATTGCTTTCAGAAAGCCATACTTACAGACTCTAACATGACTCGACAAAAAGTAAATTCATTATATGACAAGTTAAAGCAAAAGGAAGGTGAAGGATCTAAAACTGCAAAATTGAATGTCAGCAAAGGACGGTTTGATAATTTTAGAAAGAGGTTTGAATTAAAAAATGTCAAGATAACAGGAGAAGCAGCTTCTGCCAATCAAGAGGCAGCAGATGAGTTCCCAGACACCATTAAGAAAATCATGGAGAAGAAAAGAGATCTACCTGAACAAGTTTCTAATGTAGATGAAAATGCTCCATCCTGGGGGAAAAAAAAATGCCACAAAGGACATTTATTAGTAAGAGAGAGAAGCGAGCACCAGGAATTAAGGCAGAAAGGGATAGGCTAACTCTACTGGTTTGTGCAAATACAGTTAGCTTTATGATAAGAACTGCCCTGGTCTATAAAGCTGCTAATCCCCAAGACTTGAAGGGAAAAGATAAACACTGGCTGCTAGTCTTTTGGTTGTACAAGAAGGCTTGGACAAGAATCCTTTTTCTGGTGGTGCCTGGGTGGCTAAGTCGGTTAAGCGTATGCCTTTGGCTCGGGTTATGGTCCCAGGATCCTGGGATCGAGCCCCACGTAGGGGGTCCCTGCTCAGTGGGGAGTCTGCTTCTCTCTCTCCTTTTGCCTGCCACTCCGCCTGCTTGTACTCTCTGTCAAATAAATAAATTAATTAATTAATAAATTAAATAAAATCTTAAAAAAAAAAAAATCCCTTTTCTGGATTGGTTCCATCAATACTTTGTCCCTGAAGTCAGGAAGTACCTTGCCATTAAAGGACTGTCCTCTTTTCTTTTTTTTTAAAGATTTTACTTATTTATTTGACAGAGAGAGAGACAGCGAGAGAGGGAACACAAGCAGGGGGGGAGTGGGAGAGGGAGAAGCAGGCTTCCCGCGGAGCAAAGAGCCCGATGCAGGGCTCGATCCCAGGACCCTGGGATCATGACCTGAGCCGAAGGCAGATGCTTAACAACTGAGCCACCCAGGCGCCCCAAGGACTGTCCTTTTTTTTTTTTAATTTTTAAATTTTTCTTTAAATTCTAGTTAGTTAACATATAGTGCAATATTGGTTTAGAACTGCCTTTTAAAATTCTTTTGATATTGGATAATGTCCCTGGCCACCCAGAATCCCGTGAGTTCAATACTGAAGGCACTAAAGTGGTCTATATGCCCCCAAACACAGCATCTCTAATTCAGCCTCTAGATCAGGGGGTGATAGGGACCTTTAAGGCTCATTACACACAGTATTCTAGGGAAAGGACTGTCAATGCTATAGAAGAGAATCCTAATAGAACGTCATCAAAGTCTGGAAGGATTACACCATTGAAGATGCCACTGTTGTTATCGAAAAAGCCATAAAAGCCATCAAGCCTGAAACAATAAATTTCTGCTGAAGGAAACTGTGTCCAGATGCTGTGTGTGACTTCACAGGACTTATAACAGAGCCAATCAAGGAAATCATGAAAGAGATTGTAGATAAGGCCAAAAAAGGGTGGGGAGTGAACAGTTTCAAGATATGGATCTTGGAGAAATTCAAGAGCTGATACACCCCACACCAGAGAAATTAGCAGATGTCAACTTGATGGAGATGAGCTCTTCCAAACCAGTGTCCAACAATGAGGAAGAAGACGTAGGAGAAGCAGTGCCAGAAAATAAACTGACATTAGATAATCTGGCAGAAGGATCCCGATTATTCAAGACTGCTTTTGACTTCTTTTATAACATGGACCCTTCTATGATATGGGCAAAGAAACTAAAGCATATGGTAGCAGAAGGATTGGTACTACATAGAAATATTTTTAGAGAAATGAAAAAGCAAAGAAGTCAGACAGAAATTATGATGTATTTCTGTCAAAGTACCCCAAGTGTGCCTGCCTCCCCTTTCAATCCCTCCACCTCGTCCACCCCCAAGACAGCAAAACCAACCCCTCCTCTTCCTCCTTAGCCTACTCCACATGAAAACGATGAGGATAAAGACCTTTATGATGATCCACTTCCACTTAATGAGCAGTAAATAATCATCGTGATTACAGTTAATAAACTTATCCATTGTGTATGTATCTTCATGTGAACATCTAATAACTGCACAACAAGAACTGTATGAGATGTTTCTGTGTCGTCATCATCATCACTGCCTAAGTATTCATGATGCAGAACAACACATGCAAGACTGAAAGTGGACAGCCTAACCTTATACGGCATAAAGTGATATTTAATATAAAATTAATAACGTGTTAGTTTTCTTACAGCTTATAACTTTGATTTCAAAGAATTACATTACCATATAGTATGCCTCTTTCATAACTGGAGAAACTGCATATCAGCCTATCATCACAGGTAAGTAGTTTTATTTTTTTTAATGTAACACTGTTTCCAATATTGTATTATAAATGACTGTTATGCTGTATGCCATAAAAATGTCATAGCAATTCATTCATTAGTGGGAGGCTACGCTACCGTGAAGCAATTCTATTGATTATACAACACTACCATAAAGCAATCATATTGCTGCTTCTCCATTATCGGTGCATGAATTACCCATCAATAAATATATATGCGTGTTTTTGTTTTTGAGAGAGAGAGTGTGTGTGTACACGTGAACACTCAGGGCGGAGCCTGACAGAGCCACAGCCCCAAGATCATGACCTGAGCCAAAATTAAGAGTCAGGTGCCTAACTGACTGAGCCACCCAGGTGCCCTGTAAATAAGTATTTCTTTTTCACATTATCTTTTCTTTCTCTCTAAGTAAACTCCACCCCCAACGCGGAGCTTGAACTCATGACCATGAGAGCAAGGGTCACATGCTCTACCGACTGAGCCAGCCAGGTGCCCTACATTGTCTTTTCTTTTTTTTTTTTAATTTGACAGAGAGAGACACAGCGAGAGAGGGAACACAAGCAGGAGGAGTGGGAGAGGGAGAAGCAGGCTTCCCACAGAGCAGGGAGCCCGATGCGGGGCTCGATCCCAGGACCCTGGGATCATGACCTGAGCCGAAGGCAGACGCTTAACGACTGAGCCACCCAGGCGCCCGTCTTTTCTTTTTTTTTGTAAAGATTTATTTAGAGAGAGAGAGTGCATGAGCAGGATGAGGGGCTGACATTAGATATCTGGCAGAAGGAGAGAGAGGAGGAAGAAGAGAAGATTCCCTGCTGAGCATGGAGCCTGACACTCGATCTCATAACCCTAAGATCATGACCTGAGCTGAAATCAAGAGTCAGGACGGTTAACCAACTGACCCACCCAGGCGCCCCTACCTTTTCATTTTTGATATCTAGTCTTAGTAATACATACATCTACAGTGTTTTGTATGATGTAAGATGATACTGACGTAGGTACTGACGGATGATTCATCTTATAAACAGATAATGTAAGCTTTTCATATTGATAAATACAGTATGGTACTGTAAATGTATTATACTTTCTCTTGTTTATGATTTTAATAACATTTTCTTTTCTCTAGGTTACTTTATTGTAGAATACAGTATATAATAATACTTAACATACAAAATACGTGTTAATCGACTGTTTATCACTAAGGCTTTCCAGTCAACAACAGGCTATGAGTAGTTCAGTTTTTGGTGACTCAAAAGTTACACATGCATTTTTTACTGTGCAGGGTAGAGGTGGGGGGGGCAGTGTCCCTAATCCCCGCATTGTTCAAGGGTCATCTGTAGGGTACTTCCAATCACCTCTCTGGCAGGTGCTCAACAGAACATTCTCCTCAAACACCTTAGCCCAGACTTAATCAAAACCTTGCTAATAAGCTAATAACCAAAAGCCAACAATGTTCAGAGTAACACTGGTCAACACCCCAAAATCAGATGACCAAGTTTTATACTTGCCTGTCAAATGGAACATCCACAAGAATCCTGGAATTAGTTAAGGAGAGAAGACAATTCTTCTGTAACTTTAAGGGAATAAAGAAAAATAATTTTGAGCAAAGGGATACCCCATTCTAAATAAAGATTCTAAGCACTTGGAAGGTGCTACCAACGAGCTTTTCTTCCTGAGAACTCACTGTGTACCTGGCCCTCTCCAAGTTCTTCATGTAATCTTACTCTGTCACATTCACCTCTGCCTAAAGAATAATCTGCCCCCACTTTTTTTTTCTTTTTGGCAAAGCAGGGGGTCTTTTCCCCATGAACCCTAGTGGCCTGCCTGTGTGTCAATCCAAACCAATTACCTGAAGCCTGGCCATCTACAAATGTCCTTACCAGAACTTATAACTAACTCTGTGATAGAGCTGTACTTTCAACCTAAGACTGGTAGGGTTGAACTGGGCCTTTACAGATAGAAAAGAAAGAAAAGGCCTCCTGAGAAAGCTGTAGCAATAGAAAAATACACCATCTCTTTGAAAGGCCATAAGTAGGCCAGGAGGCAGGGGCAGCAAGCCTGAAATGCCAACAGGAACTAGGCAGTAACAGAAACAAGTGAGGAGGGCTGACTGTGACACAGCAGGGCAGTGGTGGGAATTATGAACAACTGGATAATTCATGTCCTTTTATAGGGGCAGTTGTTACTCCAACTGATGGCTTCCATGAAGGAATAAACACTGAACTGTGAAGGAGCTTCCAACTTTTCAAGAGAAAGTGAAAATGCAGATTTTTTTTTTTTATTGAAGAAAGACCACCTTCCTTATTGTATTTTTTAAAAATTTCCATTGTAAGTACACACTTCAATTAGATTTGGCAAATTGATACAGCTGTATAACCACTACCATCCACCATCACCATAATTGAGATAAAAAATATTTCCATCACCCAAAGAGTCACACTGTACCACCTTCTAATCAATCCCAACCTCAGAAAATTACATTGTCATTACAGATTAATCTTTTCTAAAGTTTCACATAAATAGAATCATATAATATCTACTCTCTGTGTCTGGCTTATTTTGCTTATTAGCATACAATGCTTTTGAGATTCATCCATGTTGCATGTATCAGTACTTTATTCCTTTGTATTGCCAAATAGAGGAGTTTCTTATATGAATATACCACAATTTGTTTATCTATTCACCTGCTGTTCAACAATAGAAAGGTTTTCAGTTTACGGGATATATTATGAATAAAGATATTATAAATATTCATGTAAAAGGCTTTGTATGAATATATGATTTCATTTCTCTTGGAGTGGAAAGACTAGGTAGTAAAGAAGGTATATGTCTAACTTTGAAAGAAACTACCAGCCTGTTGAACTGATAGTTCTATCATTTTACATTCTTAACATCTATATATGAGAATTTCAGTTGCTCCACACCCTTGCTAACATTTTGTATTGTCAATCTTTTAATTTCAACCAATCTAGAGGGTGTGTAGTAGTATCTAGGTATGCACTGGTAATTCAAAGTGGTTTTAATTTGCATTTCCCTTATGACTAAAAACACTGAGCATCTTTTCATATGCTCATCTGTCATCTGTTTAATCTTAGTAAAGTGCTCAAATCTTTTGCCTTTTTAAAAAATGGGCTTGTCTTATGTGGAGTTAAGAGTTCTTTATGTTCTCTATAAAAAGTCCTTTTTCATATAAACAAAACAAACATTTTTGCCATCCCATGACTTACCCTTTTCAATTTGTGTATGTCTGTGTATATGAGAAGCCTTTAATATTGATGAATTCTAATTTATTATTTTTCTTTCATGACATGTGCTTTTTGTATCCTAAGAAAACTTTGCCTACTCCAAGGTCACCAATATTTTGTCCCGTTTTCTTCTAGAAGTTTTATGGTTTTCAGTTTTTATATTTACATCTATGATTCAATTCAACTTTTTTTTTTTTAATTTAATTTTCACATATGATGTTAAGCCTGTAAGGATGTACTGAAGTGTTAACAGTATATGGATTTCTGGGTCAATGGTTTCTAAAAAAATTTTAAAAATTTACACCCAATTGCTAATCCAAATTTGCTATTTTTTTCTATAACAAACATAAATTCCTTATCTATTCTCTCTCAGGGAGGATGAAAAATTAAAACAAAATAATGCTAATATTAATAATAGCTAATATTAACTAATACTAATAATTTTTTTCATGTTATTTGTCCTGAAGTAAGAAGCAGTCAAGTATTCAATTACCTGCTGGTAATGGGGGAAATTTTTCAGAGCCTTGAAAAGCAGACAGGTGACCTCTGACAACAGACGAACAGGCATCCCCCTGGCCAGGCCCTGGCGTGTTAAGTTGAGGGCACAAGCACTGGCTGTGAACTGCACTGGCAAATCCAATGGATGATTCCTCATTCCTACAGCCACAAGCTGAAGATGAACTTGTTTTTAGTGGCATATGACAACATGAGCATTCTTTTTTTTTTTTTTTTTTAAAGATTTTATTTATTTGACAGAGAGAGACAGCACAAGCAGGGGGAGGAGAGACTGGGAGAAGCAGACTCCCTGCTGAGCAGGGAGCCCGATGCGGGGTTTGATCCCAGGACCCTGGGATCATGACCTGAGTTGAAGGCAGATGCGTAACGAGACTGAGCCACCCAGGTGCCCCAAACATTCTTTATACAGTCTTGTTTTTGTGTTGGCAAAAATATTTGCTCATTGGGACAGAAAGTAAAAGATCTTTCCCTACCCTCAGCATTTATTTTTTAGGGCAACAGCAATAACTTCCCATCCAAATGAAGCTGTTAACTAGATGTGTGACTTTAGGCAAGTCACTTCCCTTCTCTGGACTTCTTCCATTTCCTCCATGATTTCATAATCACTTATTGAACTTTACTCCATACAAGGCATTGTGATAAGCACTACAGGACACAAACATGAATTACACCCTATTCCTTAGCATAAAGCCCTGTGAGAAAAATACAGTATGTAAATAAATAACATTGAGAGGGATATCAAAACATGAAACTGGAAAAAAAAAAAAGCACCATAAACATATATAAAGTACTACCTAAGGTAGTTGTGGAAGGAGCATTCATTTCTGGTATGGAACAGAATTCTTCATTCAGAGAGCACATTTAAGGCAGGGTCTCAGATAAGATTTGGACAGAAGGAGGTAGAGATAGGGATGGAATGAAAAGGGAATTCCTAAGGAATGGAAATGTGATAAGGAAATACACAAAACAGACAAAAGGATGGGATGAATCCAACAGAGAAGGAAAAAATTTGAATTTAACAGAATTTTGAAAGAATTTGAAAACTGCAAACATAACATGAGAAAGGTCATTAGAAGACAGACTGTGGAAGACCTACAACACAAATATAACATGAAGGCATTGTACTAAGCTTAGAATACACCTGCACTAACATTCAGGGACAGTGCAATCTGTTCTGTCCATTTCTATCTACCTCAGAAACCAGTCTGCTGATACTGGCATGAACCATGATTTTAAGAGACCAGAGCCCCTCACTCTGACAGCTGCATGAAGTAACAGAGCCTAGAGACAGACGTGGGACACAGTTCCACTACGGAAAATGACTTTTTTCTATATTGATAAATTGCTCCTAGGATTTCACTGGATTGCCATCATCCAAGTTAAATACATAGGGGGGAAAAAAAAAGCAAAACACAAAACATGATTTTCAAAAATGAGAGAATCTTAGATATGAAAAGGACTTTTAGAATATCTAATTCAATCTCCTCATTACAAATGGGAAACAAAGGTCCAGAGTTTTTTTCACTTTATACGGTACTGCTTTTAAGTTATGAACAAAGCTTATCTCCCAACAGTGCAGAAATACCCAATTTTTTTAAGGAACTATAAAGAATTACAAATAATAATAAAGACAAAGTGACTTCAAGTCTTCATTTTCATGTTATGTTTCACCTTAAATAAATGCATTTTTCTTTCCCAAACCACTTAATACTTCCAGTAACATTTAAAATAAATTCATTTTTCTATAAACCAAAGCCAAGTTTGGCCCTATCAATACTGGTCATTTTACTTTATTCACAAAATACTTTATATGGTAAATCTGGCACCTTCATTTTTTTGCTCTGTTCTTGTTGAAGACACTGTTGTTTTCTTTTAGAAAACCAGACGTTAGGTTTTAAAGAGTAAATGAATGAATAAGAAACATGTGCAGCAAAGTGAATACTTTGTTTATAGATTAAGATCTCCTATTTTAGGCAAAATAGTACGTATGTCCTATATCTCCTTCTCAGACTAAATCAAAACACTGGATGACTTGAACTAATTTAGATGCTGAAAATGAGAGACGATCTGGCAGTTAATTAAGCCTAACACTGTTTTCCTTTCTCCGTGAGGGTACTTTGGCTCACTATAGAATAAAGCATATAAGTTACTGTACTCCGTGTGTTTGGTGAACACCTTTAATTGAACTAAGCAAAAAGTAGTAACAAAAACTACCTTTCTGCAGTGTAGTTACCTTTAAAATAGCAGGCATGGTTACCTGCATTGAAAATGTCTCTGTGAAGAGCCTGTAGAGTGCTTCCTTCATAAAACATGACCTATTCCTGTATCGGCTCAGTGCTTCTGAAATCTGCCTCATATTGGCTCCTCCAGCAACCTGAAAAACAAAGATGTTACCAATGGGTTTCATAGTTCAGGCTTTTAGGGGCTTTGAATGTTTGAAACAATGACAGGTGTTCAATTAAATGTTCCAGGGGCTTTACAAAGTTAAACGAATCCTAAGTCTAATAGGTAAATGTTCTCCTCAACCTCATTTTTACAATGGGGCCAGAGAGATGAAGTATGGTGCTAAATGTAACAAACCAATTAAGCAGGGGAGCCAAACTCATCTCCCTACAACTATATTACAGTTAAGACTTCAACTGAACAATGGGTAGCATATAAATTTTTTTTTTTAATATTTATTTATTTGACAGAGAGAGATAGCGAGAGAAGGAACACAAGCAGGGGGAGAGGGAGAGGGAGAAGCAGGCTTCCCGCCGAGCAGGGAGCCCGATGCGGGGCTCGATCCCAGGACCCTGGGATCATGACCTGAGCCAAAGGCAGACGCTTAACGACTGAGCCAGCCAGGCGCCCCGCATATAAATTTTTAATCAAAACCAAGACTGCATATCTTCTAAGTACTACTCATATAGAATAAATTGTCATAAGAGAAAGGTAAAAGGCCACATAAAACAACTAAAATGAAAAAGGGAATTGACTTCTTTGTAGTAATATTATTTTATTATTTATTATATAAATATATTTTATTATAATATATATTATATATTATATAATTATTATATAAATATTATTTATTTATTATTAATTAAATGTTAACATAATTTTTCCTTGCTACCACTTAGGTAATAGTTTTTAAAAATCTATACATAGACTTTGGGTCTGGAGGATAATGGTACCCCCAGATCCAAAACATAAAATTAACAAGGAATGCAAATAAAACTAGGTATGACCCAATTTTCAGCATTGCCAGATAGTGAAGGGAAAAAAAGAAAATAAAGGGGGAAACTCAGATCTTGCAAAAATGAAAAGAAAAACACTCCCCTCTCTACTCTACCATGACCAGTAACAACATCACTCAAGAAACCTCACATTGTTAACTGACATCACTAATGGATAATGCTTCTGAATTAGGAACTATGTCAATTAAATAACAAAAAATTAAAAATTCAAACCAATTCCATATAAGGCTATTATAAGAAATATTTAAGCAGCAAATCTACACATTTCATCTGAGAAAAATTCTTCCTATAAACCAACAACAGGAGCGCCTGGGTGGCTCAGTTAAGCGTTCAACTCTTGATCTCAGTTCAGGTCTTGATCTCAGGGTTGTGAGTTCAAGCCTTGTGTTGGGCTCCATGCTGGGTGTGGAGCTTATTTTAAAAACAAAAACAAAAAATCTCAACAACAAATCAGAAGAAAATTTTAACACGGCACTTTAAACTGAATTAAATATTCTCAATAAGCATTTTGGGATGTGAAAAAATACCTTCAACAAAAAGATGAAAAAACAATTCATTAAAAAGGGAAGAAAAAGACAAAATCATATCAAATATAAAAACTAAGTTAAAGGGGCGCCTGAGTGGCTCAGTCATTAAGCGTCTGCCTTCAGCTCAGGTCATGATCCTGGGGTCCTGGGATCGAGCCCCGCATCGGGTTCCCTGCTCGGCAGAAGGCCTGCTTCTCCCTCTCCCACTCCCCCTGCTTGTGTTCCCTCTCTTTGTCTCTCTCGGTCAAATAAATAAAATCTTTAAAAAAAAAAAAAAAAAACTAAGTTAAAAAGTACCCAAGGGGGGCACCTGGGTGGCTCAGTTGGTTAAGCGACTGCCTTCGGCTCAGGTCATGATCCTGGAGTCCCTGGATCGAGTCCCGCATCGGGCTCCCTGCTCGGCAGGGAGTCTGCTTCTCCCTCTGACCCTCCCCCCTCTCATGTGCTTGCTCTCTCTCATTCTCTCTCTCTCAAATAAATAAATAAAATCTTCAAAAAAAAAAAAAAAGTACCCAAGGAAGGACAGATTTGAATAAAAATTTAGTAAGGGGAAGAAATGCAAGAAAACAAGAAACAAATTAAAAAAAAAACTTTTTAAAAAATATTATTTATTTATTTATTCATTTGAGTCAGAGAGATACAGAGAGAGAGAGCATGAGCAGGGGAAGGTGCAGAGGGAGAGGGAGAGCAGGCTCTCCACTGAGTAGGGAGCCAGATGTGGGACTTGATCCCAGGACCCTGAGATCATGATCTGAGCCGAAGGCAGAGGCTTAACCCTCTGAGCCACCCAGGCGCCCTGAAAACAAGAAAATTTTTTAAAAGAAGTACAAAAGATCTAAGATTAAGTGTTGATACGGAAAAAAGACAAAGATCCATGATGCATATACCTGAAGTTCCTGAGGGGAAAACAAACTAATATTTAAAACTATTATCTAGGGGATGCCTTGGTGGCTTAGTAGGTTAAGTGCCTGACTTCAGCTCCAGTCATGATCTCAGGGTCCTGGGATCGAGCCCTCCATCAGGCTCTTGTGCAGTGGGGAGTCTGCTTGTCCCTCTCCCTCTCTCAAGTAAAATCTTAAAAAGAAAAAAAAAAAGGGGATGGCTCAGTTGGGTGTCTGCCTTTGGCTCAGGTCATGATCCCAAGGTCTGGGGTCGAGCCCTGCGTCGGGCTCCCTACTCAGCAAAGAGCCTGCTTCTCCCTCCCCTCTGCCTGCTGCTCTGCCTACCTGTGCTCTCTCTCTCCATCTCTGTCAAATAAATAAATAAAATCTTAAAAAAAAAAAAAAAAGAAAAAGAAATCAACAGCAACTGTCCCTGTAAAGAAAGAAAAAAAAAAAAACAAAAAACCAGGGGCGCCTGGGTGGCTCAGTCATTAAGCATCTGCCTTCAGCTCAGGTCATGATCCCAGGGTCCTGGGATCGAGCCCCACATCGGGCTCTCTGCTCGGCGGGAAGCCTGCTTCTCCCTCTCCCACTCCCCCTGCTTGTGTTCTCTCTGTCAAATAAATAAATACAATATTTAAAAAAAAAAAAAACCCGATCGCAGATCTATTAGGAAAGAATTCTTGAAAATGTTCAAAGAACTAAAGGAAGATACAGATAAAATCAAAGAAATGATGTATGATCAAAAGAGAAAAATCAACAGAGATAGAAAACAGAAAAGAAAAATTCTGGAGCTGAAAAGTGCAATAACTAAAATGCAAAATTCACTAGAGGGATTCAAAGGCAGATTTGAGGAGGCAGAAGAATCAACCAACTTGAAGATAGGACCATGGAAATTACTGGGTCAGAGGAACAGAAAGGAAAAAGACCTCAAAAAAGTGAACAGAACTTCAGGAACCTATGAAATACCAATAAGCAGACCAAACTACACATTGTGGCAGTCCCAGAAGAAGAGAGAGAGACACTATTTGAAGAAAACATGGCTGAAAACTTCCCAAACTTGATGAAAGACATGACTATGAACACCGATGAACTCAAGAAGACTCTTACCAAAGACACATTATAATCAAATTTTTGTAGGCTAAAGACAGAAAATCTTGGAAGCAGCAAGAGAGAAGTGAATCACACACAAGGGATGCTTGATAAGATTATCTGCAGATTTCTCATCAGAAACTTTAAAGGCCAGAAGACCATGGCCAGTATGTTTAAACTGTTAAAAGGAAAAAAAAACAAAAACAAAAAAACACCAAAACCCTGTCAACCATGAATCCTGTATCCAGCAAAACTGTCCTTCGAATGTGAGAGAGAAATCAAGACATTCCCAGATAAACAAAAGCTGGGGAAGTTCATTACTACTAAACCTGCCCTTTAAGAAATGCTCAAAGGATGGGGACACCTGGGTGGCTCAGTCAGTTGAGCACCTGTCTTTGGCTCGGGTCGTGATCTGGGGGTCCTGGGATCGAGTCCCGCATTGGGCTTCTTGCTCAGCAGGGAGCCTGCTTCTCCGTAGCCTACCTCTCCCCTGCTTGTGCTCTCTCTGTCTTCCTGACAAATAAATTTTAAAATCTTAAAAAAAAAAAAAAAGAAAGAAATGCTCAAAGGAATCCTGCCGGGCAAAATAAAGTAACACTAGACAGTAAGAAGAAACCATATGAAGTAATAAAGATCTCAAAAAAAGGTAAATACAGGGCAATTTTAAAAGCTAGTGATATATTAAAACTGGTCTGTAGGAGTCCCTGGCTGGCTCAGTGGGTACAGTATGCAACTCTTGATCTTGGAGTCGTGGGTTCAAGCCCCATGTTGGGCATACAAATTACTTAAACAAACAAACAAAAAAAACCAAAAACTGGCTTGTAACTCTACTTTTTGTTTTCTACAGGATTTAAGAAATTAATACATGTTCTAAAAAATATTACTCTAAAAGCTATTATTGTAACTTTGGTTTGTAACTGCAAATTTTGTTTTCTACATAATTTATGGATTTTATTTATTTGAGAGCAAGAGAGCATGAGCAGGAGGGAGGGACAGAGGGAGAGGGAGAAGCAGACTCTCCCACTGAACAGGGAGCCCAACACAGGGCTCCATCCCAGGACCCTAAGGTCATGACCTGAGCCGAAGGCAGATGCTTAACTGACTGAGCCACCCAGGTGCCCCTGTTTTCTATATAATAAGCAAATGGATTAAAAAGAATTATCATTTTATACTTTGGGGCAGACAATGTATAATGATGTAATTTGGGGACATCATTGATTAAAAGGGTTGGGGATGGAGATGTAAATTAGCAGTTTTTTACGTTATTGAAGTGAAGCTGGTATAAATTCAAATTAGAGTATTTTAACTTTAGGATATTAAATGTAATCTCCATGGTAACCATAAAGAAAACAGTTACAGAATATACACAATAGGAAATGAGAAAGGAGTTTAAACATTTTGCTATAAAAAAAAAAAAAAAATCAGCTCCCTGCTTAGTGGGGAGTCTGCTTCTCCCTCGCCCTCTGCCCCTCCCCTTGCTTGTGCTGTCTGTTGCGCTCACTCTCAAATAAAATCTTTTTTTTTTTTTATTTTTTTTTAAGATTTTATTTATTTACAGAGAGAGACATAGCGAGAGAGGGAACACAAGCAGGGGGAGAGGGAGAGGGAGAAGCAGACTCCCTGCTGAGCAGGGAG